CGACACTCCGATTTCATGTGGCCCGGCTTGCCACAATAGTAGCAGGTAACTCTTGGACGTGACTTGGATCTTCTGCGAGATTGGTCTCGTCCTCTGGTTCTGTTGTGAACACGAGTCTCTTCCCTACCTCGTCTATCAACGATGTTAGCTTCTGAATAAGAGCTCGAACCTCGCTCCTTCCTGCGAACTTCTTCATTCATAAGGCTATCAGTGACGGTATCCATGGTGAGCTTTCCCTCTGGTGCTGAATTACTTAGGGTCACAACTAGTGTGTCCCAACTCTCTGGTAGTGAACTGAGGAGTAAAAGGGCTTGCATTTCGTCTTCAACCTTCATATCAACTTTGCTAAGCTGATTTACAAAGCCCTTGAAATTATTCAAGTGCTCCATCATGCTTTGACCATCTTTGTACTCCAGTTTTACCAACCGTCGGACAAGAAGAGCTTTGTTTCGAGGCGTTTTCTTTTGAATCATGGATTCAAGTTTTGTCCATAATTCAAAAGCATTTGTGTAGGTAGAGACATGTTCAAAGAGAGATCGGTCAATATACTTACGGATTACAGCAACCGCCTTTCGGTTTAGTATTTCCCATGTTTTGTCATCCTTTCCTTCCGGCTTCTCCTTCATGATGATGGGTTCATGCAAATCCTTACAGTAAAGGTGATCTTCCATCATCGGTTTCCAATATGAGTAGTTGTCCGTCGTGAGTTTGAACATGTCACCTTCAACGGTAACGGTAGCCTCCATCTTGAATCACACTGGATCTTGTTGAGCTTGGCTCTGATACCACTTTGTTGAGAAATCACCCAATATTATTTGTGAGATGAAGATGGGATTTAGACAACTAAGAAATTTAAGAAGAAAATTTTTTCTCTTTTGGAAAGGAATTTACTACAAAGGTTTGTTTTTAGAAACTCTCTCTCTTACAAATGTTTTTCTTCTTAATTCTAGATTGTTACAAATGGTGCTAAGCACCTCTATTTATACAAGTGAGAGAGAAACTTCTAACATGTTCTAGATTTCTCTAAATTATTATCCTAATCCAAAATATCTAACATTAATTATTCTACTCCATAACTTTCTCTNCACACTTGAGTTTTTGACCCGTACTTCGTTCAGCTTGGGCTACAAACTCTTTGAAAGCATCTAGAACTTGATCTTTTGTCTTCAAAAGATGTACCCACACCTTTCTTGAATGGTCATCAATAAAGGTGACAAAATATGATGCCCCTCCATTGGATTTCTCAGTCATGGAGCATACGTCAGTATGCACAAGATCAAGGATATTCTTCCTTCTCATAGGTGTAGATGATCTTCGGAAAGCGACTCTATGTTGTTTTCCGGCTAAGCAATCATGACATGGTGAAAGAGACGTACCTTTCATGTCAGGAAGAAGTTTCTTGCGAGAAAGTATATTTAAACCTTTCTCACTCATATGTCCAAGTCTTCGATGCCATATCTCCATATTAGTACTTGCGACGTTTACTTCTTCCTTACATAGCTTGGCTTGTGTCACATAAAGTGATCCTTCTTTTCTTCCTCGAGCCATAATCAAACTTCCTTTGGTTAACTTCCATTTTCCTCCACCAAAATGGTTATCCAAACCGGCATCATCGAGCTTTCCGGTTGATATGAGATTGAGTCGCATGTCGGGAACATGCCTCACATCATTGAGAACTATCTTACATCCAGTATTTGATGTAAGAATAACATCCCCCTTTCCAACGATCTTACTTCTTCCTTGATTTCCCATTTGAACATTGCCAAAGTCACCACTTTGGTAGGTTGTGAAGAAGCTTCCATGAGGGGTGACGTGAAAAGAAGCACCAGAATCAACGATCCA